ACGTCCGTGAGGGTGACCTTGGTTGTCCTGGCTCCACTCCTCAGGAGTAGATCAATTGATCCATATCCTCTAACCAGCACCTTGGAATTCCCAGCCCATATGAAGTCTCTAGGCGATGGCTGTCGGAACCTATAGACGCGGTCAGGGTCGTTGGTGATATGACAGGTAGAACCTGAGTCAAGTATGAACGACTTCCGCAGTAGATAGTCAGCAGCGTCCTGTTGGTTCACTGCGCTGAGCGCTGCTTTAACGTCAGCAATTTCTTAGCCTTCTAGTTAATTGTCTAGGATTTCTAGGGTAGGGGTGTGCGAGTGCTTCACCACTAGTATTCTTAATCTACTCTTGCTTTGTGCGCGAAGTAGCCCTTAAAAGGTAACATCTTTCTCACACTTAAACTTAATAAGTTTAGAAATAATCTTATTTAGTTTCCACCACTCAGGAGCTCTGTCTTGATTAACATAGTAGCAATCCTGTATAGAGTGGCGTTGTCCACATGCAGGGCATTTTGCTCCCCTAGTGGAAGCAGGCTCTTGATCTGAAGGCTGCTTGAGCGTGGTGGTTTTCCTACCTGCTGTACGTTGATATCAAGGTCTGCCCTAGTTAGATGGCGCGCTTACAGCATGTTGGGCGTCCCCTTCATGGCTCTGGGAGGCTGCACCCCCTTTAGCAAGAAACACTGCATCGTCAGCCACAAAGGCCTTGTGCCGCCCTAATCTAAGGGGATAATTTATCATCATGTGCTCTTGGTAGCGTTTTATCATCTCCTTCCAACTCATACTAGATTTAAAGCGTCCGCTATCTTGAAAGCTTGTAGCCTACATAGGCGCGACCCTGTTCACAGCTGTCAGGAAGTCCTTTGTTATCACATTTAATTGCGATAATTCGGCGACTTTGTACGTCTCCGCTTCTGTAGCTGCCTGGTCATACTTGGCTAGCTAGGTATCCCATTGTGACGTGCTTCTCATTGGCTTGAGTGCTGAGAGGTATCTATCTTGGGCTTGTTCTTGTTCAATTCGTTCGTCAACCCTAACAGTAAGTTGTAGGTCTGTGATCTACTGTCGCAGTGGTTTCTTAGGAAGACAGCATGTGCGCAGTAGATGTAGCGACACAGTTAACTAGATAAACACAATAATATGCTGAAGGCTTGCTTCCTCCTTCTTATATTTGTGTCAATTGTTCTTGTATTGTTTAAGGAGTACTTTGTAATACTTAAGGTCTTCCTTAAATGCCTTCTAGCCTGTTGTTGATAGCTTAGTTGGCCTTAATAGTATGTCAGTGTTCGCGGCTGGCGCGTAGTTGGTAATAGTTGGAGCCCTCAGCGAGAGTGGCTTTGATAGTAGTGGTGTAGTTGTCTTTAGGTTGATCTTGTCCCAGATGTTGCGCGACAGGCATCTCGCCTGTAGCTGCGCGAGCCAGCCAGTCCAGTCGGCTTGGTCCCTAAGGACTGTCGTTGGGTCGCGGTACGCTGGTTGCGCCATTTTGATTGCGGCAGTTCGGTTGCGGCAGTGAGGTTGCAGCAGTTCGGTTGCGGCAGTGAGACTCTTAATTGTCAGATTCTCGTACTGTGAGCCAGAGTATGTGCTTAACGAGATCTTAGGTGGTATAATGATATATTGATGATCGTGGCCATGGTGTTTTTCT